GTGTGTCTGCCATTCGCATATGAGTTTCTTTTATGTCAGACGAAGAGAAGGGATAAAGAGCAAGATTCTCCCCGAAAATGGTGAGACAGGGAAAGTCTCTCGTGGAGTTCTGTTGCCTGAAAGTCCCCATAAAAGCGTTACGTGAAAATACAGAAGTGATTTATTAAATGAAATAATACCGCGTAAAGCCTCTTGGACGCAATTCGTGAGATTTTCTTCTCATTTCGCTTGACACGCACACAATCTTTTTATGGTGTTACCGAGTGATTATTGTATTTCTGTGACACTGTCGAATTTTCCATGGGAACGTTATGCTCTCAGTCCCTCTCTTTCGCACGCACACCACTCCTTGATAAGGGCGAGTAAAGTGGCAAATTTACGATGTACTTTACTCTTTTTCCACCTTCACCCGGAGTAGATGCCGAGCATATTTCTTGGACCATAATCTCAATATGTTTTGGGGGAAAAATGTGTATATATGGGAATTTATTGGATGTACATAAGCATACCTTATCGTGCGGAAGAAATTGTCTCGAAGTTACCACAATAATAATATATCCACATTTGATTGTTCCAACATCCAATATCGCAGGCTACAATTCGCAAAGTGTAGAAACATTCTTAGTATAGTTAGAACAAGTCTAAGACTTTTTATATACTGCAGAAAACACTTTCAAGTGAAGCATACAACAGAATCTGGCGCGATGATCTAAAATCAAGAATCGCGTTGTAGTCAATTAACGCCACGATTCTTGATTTTGCAAATTTTGCGGTCTTTGAAAAGCATAAGCAGGTAATTTCCCATATTCAAGTCACAGACAGTGATATAAAACAATAATTTGAAGCGCATTGTTTCATTCCCGTCCTGATTAATTTGGACGTTTTGTGGTGAATTGAAGATTAATTCATTCAGTTCATTCAAAATTTCTAATTGTTACTCACTTGAACGCTTTCAATTAATTACACTGCATTGATTGTGCATTAGAATGAATTGTAATGGTTTTCATATCATAGTTTACTGCTAATGTACAAAGTGATGCTCAGTCATCAGTAAGATTTCAAGAATGTTTCACAAGTTGACATCGCCCTTTAAGGAATGTAATAATCTTTTCGTCGTGGAGAGTGGGAAAACCCGATTCCATTTTACTTACATTGTCTTGTGCTATGCAATGTAATAATAAATATGCAGTGGAAAATGTTCGCCTTGTGGAAAAATTCCTTGTCGCGATTTTAATGAAAAATTCAAACGAGCTTTCATGAATACAAATGGTACAATCTTGTGGTATTCAGTGGCAGAAGTGAGCCTTGAGAGAGTCAATACACAAGGGTTGATACTTCTCGAAGACTTTGCTGCGTTTCTGCTCCTTGTGGAAATTCACACCAAGCAAAAGAGGAGCATCGTTTTGCCACGAACGATGAAAAGTGATATGTGAAGAGGCAAATATTACAGAAATTCAGCTGGAGAAAAAAAGGGAACATTTTCGCCAATTTTCTCTTCGTTGTGAGCATGCAATTTAATTTGGTTTCACCCATCACACAATTTCATTTACTTGTGGCTGTACAAAAAGCATTTTTATATTTTCCATGACAATATTTACCATATTGTGCTGTGTTATGCAAAGTGTTTCTCCACTTTTTTTTCCTACGCCTGTCACCACACAAAGTGACGTGAGGCACGAAGTAAAAGTTCCGCCACAATCACCCATGGATGATGTGTTTTTGTAACTCCTTGTCGGCGTTTCAGCATATTTTTCTTAATTTCCAACGCCACAGTGCGGGTGTTCTCGGCAGAAATTGCCTGTGGAGGTCAAATGGCGAACTTCAGCCACGTTTTGGGGACAGAGTGTGAAAATAGGGCGCATGAATTTGCGGTTGGCTGAAGCATTCCACGGGTAAATGGGTAGAATTTTGTGCAGAGTTTTGCATATAAAGTTTTATGATTTCAATTGAATAATTAATTGTAATTCTGTGCGAAAAGTTCCCATTTTGCCATTGCTGCATTGTATGTTGGGCACTGGGCATGATAAATTATTATGAGTTTCAGGATGAGATGTGCATGTTTGGAATTTTCATGACATTTCTCTGGCTTCAATCAGCCGTCATAGAGCAGATGTGAAGAGGGCGGGAAAGTACGTTTCATTGAAATGAAGCTTATCTCTAACTTTTGCCAGTGTATAGACTGCCAAAGGTTTCATGTGTGCACCACTCAATATAGGGTGTGTTATACAGACAATACACACATAATTAAGGTGGTAAATTTAATGCTTAAAGCAGTCACTGAATTAACACGAGATGATTTTACCCGCCACGGCACGATATGCTCTTAATCACAATTAATCCACGAGGAGTATTAGTGCGACAATCAACTCTGACTAGATGCTGTACACGCTTCCGTCCTTTCACTGCGCTCCTACGTGCTTCTGCACCACGCCAGGCTTGTACAGGAGCTGCAGGAAGAATAAGGCCACGTAATACAATATTGGAAAAAAATACCATCGATTTCGAGAGTGAACGAGAATTTAATTACTGTACTAATATAGGCACAAACCAAATAATGTCTCTTACAGAGAATGCCAATTACTGTGGGAACAGTTGATATTTCTGATTGCTTTCAAGTTTTCCGCAGTGCATTTTCACTCTTTCCTCGCCATAAACTTCTACTCAGTCGGAAGTGAATTGTGAATAAAAATCCAATTTAAATGTCATGTAAATACTCTTTAAACTTGACTGGGCATCTCGTTAGGGAAAATTCCGTTTCTCAACTCTTAGCATGAAAGTTGTCATGGAAGAGTGTTGAAAAAGTTTCGCCGTCCTGGACTTTTCTCTCTCAATTGGATCTGACGGAATTTCGATGGTCAGGCGCAATTCTGACTCTGCACACTGACGTGTGTGTGTGTGTGGGCTAGGGGAGGGGGGGTGGAAAAGGCAGGAGCTTTTCTCCAAGTGATGCATTCTGAATGTGAAATGACTTTGAGTCTTTTAATTGCAGGCATATTAACTTGCACATAATTAAAGAGCAGAGAAACTATGGTGGAAACTTGTATATCCATAAATCTCCATATACATTTTAATGAAGTTATTGCTGTGGGGAATTATAAGCACGCGCCCTACAGAGTGGCTGAAATTTCACGTTGTGCAATTTACAACACTTTGCCGCACCAATAGTTGAACAACATGCCATAGGGAAATGTGGATGGGAGCCCAAGTTTTTGCCCACACGGCATGTTCAATTGCAGGGAGACGAAGTGGGGCAATCAGATAAATGGCGTGTCTCAATCCTCGACTTTGGGCTGAATTGAGTCAATGGGTCCCCCGAGGAAGTGACACGAGAGATGAAAAGGGGCTGCCCTCAGCGCCCACTCCAAGCTCTGCTCATTAGCCGAATCCCTCGCCCACCATCAGCATCCACAGCCTCTATTTCCCTCCCGCAGAAATACACAAATATTTCACTGTCGAATCATATCGTTCTGGCCACAGTGGAAACTACACTTTTAGCTGTAATATACAGCAGAACCGGCAACATTCCATTTCATCTGATAACAAAGCTCGTACATAACAGTGTATTCTACCTGCATAGCTATAGGGGAGTGCGGGGTGTAGCAGAAGAGCAACTCCTCAACTATTTCAAGCGGATTTTGCTGGGTTTTTGTGCCACATCTTCTTTTGCGACAACATTCCGCAAAAGTCCTTCTATTCAGTATTTATAAATAACAAGAAGTAGTTTAAGTGAAAACTGTGTGAATTATTTAACGTAAAATTTTAACAGAAAAAATGTCTGAAATACAAAGACTTTCTTCCCGAAAAACTTCTCAGTAAGAGTCTTTATTAAAAGCAAGAAGTTTTATTAGAATTTTCACTTTTTTATATTTTCCATACAAAAATTTTCATCAATTGTCCATCCAGTGTGACATTTGGAAAATCTCAGTCAAAATATCCCTGCTCTGCCTTTAAGAACTTTTCCAATTAAAGAGAGTGTGTTTGTCCATTTTCGTCGGATTATCAGAGGGAATTTCTATAAAGTTTTCACACAATTTTTCTCAATCGTCTTTGGGAGAAAGAGAAGAAAGACGCCGAAGGTGTCAGTGAAGATTTTAATTGAAATTCCGAACTATTTATTGCACAAGTCTTCTTCATCCGCAGCGAGAGCTTCGTCTTAATGGTATCTTAATGGCTCTCTTTATGTCCAGCTCGTCCGCCCTTCCGGTGACCATTTCGCACTCAGTCACTTTTTCATGGCCGGAACGGATCGTCGAGGCCACTCTGGGCTGACATAATTCGAGACGCACCCTGGCAGTGTCAAGTTCCACGCGCAAATGCAGATTAATTGGATAACAAAGTCCCATTGGCTCTGTCCCAGGCTTTAATGGCCCCGAAAATTTGGGATCCACATTGTCCCCTTTTTTCTCCGTCATTTATTTCTATGGCTGTCGGAGGGAAAGTATGAGATAAGACACCATAAATTTCCGCTTACATCCAGATTGGAATTTGAATTAAATTTGTCCCCCGAAAGTGGGCTCCAGCGGATGTGCGCGGGCGGCGAAGGGCGGAATTAGTGATTTCCTGAGTGTGAGGATGGAAAACTTTATTTTGTACACAATGTGATTGAGTTATTTTCACTGTGTGCTGCAATGCTCTCGCCTCTCAAATTAATGACTCAGTTGAACGACATGGACGATTGTGTTGGGAGTTATAATTAAATTATATTCACTTCGAAGTGAAAACTTTCTCAGCAAATTGTCACTATATTTCGCAACTTTGTTATCTACTCCTGTTTATTTTCTCACGCTGCCAGCGACTGCTGCAAGACGTCAATGGGCACAAGTGCCAAGATCGCGTGGGAGTAAATTTAATTTCCCACCCTTGTAAACATCTCAGAGTTTGTCAACTTCGACAAATTTCGCACCTCACTTTTTTCGCTCTAAAATTTCTACGCAAGTTCTAACGATGTTCCTTGTGCAATTGTCTCTTTTCCGCTCTTGCCGCCATCGTCAAATCAACAGCCGGCGGTTCAGACACATTCAAGGATCACTGCAACAAGACCGTGGACATTTATGTGGACGTGGCGTCGCCGGAAGTGACAAACCTCAATCGCGGCCAACCGCTGACGTGCTGGTATCGCTTCAGGAGCTTTCGAGGAGCGCCGCGGGATTGGGTCCTGAGGTTGAGGTTCAACAAATTCAAAGTCGGCACTCTCGTGAATGCTACGCACTGCGACGGCGGATATTTGCAGGTGAGTCTCTAGTTTAACCCTCGAACGACGCCAAGAAACTGAGCGGCAGATTCAAAGAATTGAGGAAAGAAAATAGAAATCGTAGATTCAATATGAGGTTCAATATCATTTGAAGGTTTAATTGGATGTTCGACGCACAGAATGAATAAAAAAGCATCTTGAGTTAACTCTTAAGGGTTAACAACTCGCTATAGGATTATTTCTCATTGATCATTCGAAGGATTCCGTCATTGAAGGGAAAACAAAGTATAATGCAGAAAGGCAATGAGTGGAGATTGAAACTTTCCGCCTTGTTGTTTTTCTTCCCCTCCCGTAATAGTCGTTTTCATCTCTCTCTCTCTCTCTCTCTCTGTTTCTCTCCATTGCTATCCTTGCATGGCAGATGAAAGACGAAACTCCCGACTCAACTGATAGATAAGACTTGTCGGAAATCCGCTTGAAGAGCAATTCATTCTTTTTCCCACTCTCACAGCCGCAAAACCGAAATTCAGCATAAAATTTAGCAACAAAATTTAGTCATTCACTGTGAGCACTTCCATGAGCTTTCAAAGGGGCGGCGGAGGGGTAAAAAAGATTTATGGTTGCACGATGAATATAAATTTCTGTGGTTTTGGGCCTCGCAATGCGAAATGAGGGTGGATTTCCCATCTCTTCACACACTGCATTGGGTGAATATCAAGACTTTGGGAATTACACCGCACAAGATCTGCCATTCTTCCTCCCATTCACCTTCTCTCGCAGTCTTGTCTCGCAGAGTCTGTTTACACAAATTGCCATTGAAGATTCAACCGCAAAAAAAATCACCCCGGCTTTTCGAGACTCTACAAGAGCTTCTTCAAGCTTGCCGGCAAGAAATTGATGCCATTCTCAATAAATTTGTCCCCTAATGAAGATTTATTGCTGAAAATAGCGCACAAGCTTTGCCCACGAGCTCTCACTGTCTCATCAAATATTTAAGCTAAATATGTAGTCATTATAATCAACAAGTTAGGCAAAAAGATGGGCAAACGCTGGAAATTGGCCCTTTCACGTGGGCTCCCAAGGGAAGAGGTGAAAATAAAAGCATACGGGCTTTTTATGCCTAACCATAAAGTACCCCACATTTGCCCTGATAAACTACAGAGATATCAAATGTAATGAGGATGTAAATGAATCAGTGTGTAATGAAATTTGAATGAGTATATTTTCCACGGCTTTTATTCAAATCGCTAAAAGAAACAAATTAATGGGCGGGGATTTGGAATGGGCGGTGTTGATTGCAGTCTCAAGTGAATATCTGCCAAAGTTTTGAGCCATTTTGCAAAAGTAGCACAGTTTTGAAAAGCTCTTTTACACTGTAGTAACTTTGAAGTGATAATAATGAGAAAATTGTAGATTTAAATCTGTTTATGAAATCCCCTTATTTATTCCACTTATGCAGCTAATAGTGGAGTAATTTTTGAAAATGCCACTTCATTTGTAGAGAATGGCGAATGAGTTTAATACTATTGGCGCAGAATTAATTGCTGTCTTTTCAGGATAAAATTGCGTTAATAGCCATGTTACCGTAGTAACTTTGTATACTTATTTGTTCAGTGCAGCAACAATCAGTGTTCCTGACTATTGTATAAATCTCATTTAAATAGCGAACAATTCTAACGTATTCTCTGGCGCAGAAGTCAAACAAGAATTAAGTATAATTGTATCAAATTAGAGCTAAAAAAACGTGCAACTATATATTCTTTTCATCTTTGAGTGAATACAAACAATTTTAATTGTCAAACATAAAGCATTTCATGGAAAAGATATTAATAATATTCTCTATTCGAATGGTATTTGCATTACAACAAATTGTCTATGAATAGCTATGAAAATTTCTCACCGGAAGCTTTCCTTTGGCAATTTGAGAGTTTTCTCATTTCAATTTAAATGCAAAATAGGCAAAATTGGCTTCATTGTTGGTTCTGTGTCGACATGACATAATAATGAAATTGTTGATGTTGGTGAAATGCACAAAACAGAGGGACAAGTATGAAAAATGCACTTTTTAATTAAATTTTAATTGGATTTTTGAAAGGCTTCTCACAGTGTCAAAGCGCGCGCTACACTAAAGTTCACCCTTTGCGCTTTGACACCGCGTGGCGTTGAAAAAATCACACCAGAACGTGGCAATAAAAAAGTCCGCGCGCAAAACGTGCACACGCGAAGGCTTCAGGCCAGATATTTGGGTCACTCTGCAGTGTAATTCAATGGACAGCTTGGCAAGTGAGATCAGTAAATTGATGCGACATAAAATACAAAATCATTTTGACCCTCATTCAGCTTTTATTTGTGGACATCTGACAAATCTCTTGCAGCCCAATTTCTAAGGCACTGGAAATTGTTGATACTGTCTGGGTAAAATATTCTGGGAGGGAATTTTAATTACTTTCAAGTCAATGTTTGACGCTTGAATATTTTTAAAGTTCATTATATTGTTGTTAATCTCATGGCTCGTGCGAGGGAAAACCACAAATTTCCCTTGAATGCCATATAGATAAAATATTTGTTGATTGCGTCGCTTTATGTTGTGTCGATGGAAAGTCAAAAACTTTCTTCTCGCCTTAATTAAATGTCCTGTTTTAGCTGAGAAAGTTTCACGTGAACACCCAACCAATCAAACGTTGATTAAAGTTATGTCGTCACATGGAAAAGGATGCGAGGGAAATAGACTTTCAGCCGCAACGAAAATTCTCCTTTAATATTGCCCATATCCAGAAGGGGATTAGCTTTATTCGCCAAAAAGTAATACGAAACATATTTTTACTGTTAGCAATTTATTTTTGTACATGCGACATATGGGAAAAAGTGAATAAATGCACGAGATGTAATTCGATGTTTTTGATTGAAATAAAATATTCAGGAAAATCCATTCATCTAACCAAACATTTACATTTATTTCCCACATTCAATATTTCACAAACATCGCAAGCGGGCGGAGGAAAATTCTCCGCATGCGAGGGAAAAAGTGAATGAGGAGTATTGAGAGCTTTTCCCACACATTTGGCGGGAAAATCCCCGCCAAGTTCATTGGCTTTCTCTCTAGTGTGTTCTGTCGTGTGATATTTTTTCTGCCACTTTTCAAGGACTGATAAAAAATATGATAAAAAAATCAAATCGTGAATAAAACATACTCAAAATGGGGACTCAAGTGTTGGGGGGCAAGGGGGAGGGTAAAAAATGGGGATGCAGAACCCGTACATAAAATATTCATAGCTTGATGGAAATATAAAATTCGAAAAATTCCCCTCTGAATTGGACGAGGGCAAGAGAAAATCAAGATACCAGACGAATGAGAGCTGGAAGAGATTTTATAGAATGAATAATCGGTTTCGAGGGTTGCCACTCTTGACTCTTCTGCAAACCCTCATGTTTATTGATTCCCTTCATTCCACGCCACACCAATAAAAAGCACGATATAAGACGAGGGGGAGCTTTGCCAGCGTGTATGGCTTTTTTTAGAGTGCTCATATAAAACAAATATTTCGCTATATTTCATTCAATAGCTCAGACTCTATCCAACTCCCGAGCTTTTGAGCTATGTGTAGATGTTATATTAATGAGCTTTTGCGGAATACAAATGCAAATGAATATTTATCGACAGTGGGGAAATCTGAGGAAAAGTCTCAACATCATTCTTTATGTTCCTAAGTCAGTTATTTGAAATCTTTACTTTTTCACATGAAAAACATCTATTGTATTATTCTGGTGAAAATATTAAGAAGAGTGGCTTATTCCTCAATGCGCAGAAATTTAAAGTAAGCACAATTTCTTAACGTGTCTTGGGGCAGAATTATACGGTCCACAACCATCTAATGCATTTTAATGCTTTGAATGAATAAAGTTGATTCGAAATCTTAAGCTCCCTGTGCGCGTTGTGGATTACTTACGGACTTGTGCTTCGAGATATGTACAGGAAATTGAATAAGCTCTCAATTGCTGCCAAGAGCACTACTAAGAATTAATTAATTTTTTAATAAGTTGCCAATCTGCTTGTGATAGCGCGTGTAAAAAGATTTTTATAATCTTAAGCGTAATAAAATATATAGAAAAAGGCATGGAAAATGTAGTCCTTCAATTCTTCCACCCTTGATTCTTGAACTACAGTTCATGCACCTACCTACATTTTAATAGTTATAGATGTCTTGTTGTGTTTCAATTAACGTAAGCAGCATTTTGTGTAAAATAACCTCTTTGTGTACTCGAATTCTCCTCTCGAACATTTTCGTATGGCCAGGAAAAGTGTTGGTTGCAATTTAAAAGAACTTCTTGTGAAGTAATTTAGCATGAAAGTGAACCTCCGTCTGGGGAACTCAGTCACCCGTGGGGATTTGGCCTCATTAAGCGCCTGTGTTGCTGATGTCAGAAGCTGGAGTGTGGGAAATGCATGGCTTATGGAATTCAATAGGGAGAGAGGCTCCTTGTCATGTCGATCATGGCTTTTACGGCTCGTTGAGGAAAATATGAGCGTCAAAAGGCTACTCAGTAGCACTTCGCTCTGTGCGAAAGTGCGGGGGCACTTTTGAGGGTGGCAAATTTCTCCTGCTGCGCGCGTATTAGAAAGGTGAGATAAAAATTTGGTGTTTTGGTATTTATGTCACGTTTCCTCTCCCAATGTATAGTCATAAATGATTTTTATGGATTTTCTCCATACAACAGAGATGAGGTTAAAATACACACTTTACTCTCGCCATAAGCCAAGAGCAAAAGCTCTGGCGTGGAACATTCTCTGGGCGACATTCACCCATTTAGTCATCCGGCAACTTGGGGATTGGCCGGAATAATAGGGGACGCTGTGTGCTGAGAAGGCAAGAGGGAGAGAGAGGAAGAGAAACGGATAGAAAATCCCACGAGAAAATATCAAATTTTCTTTTCTCGTTAACTATAGCACAACAATTTCCTCCGGTCGGGCCTCCGCCAGCCCATCATAATAACTTCCAATTTACTCCACTTTATTCGTGGCCTGTCCTTGCCGTATTATT